CAGAAAGATGTTTACTTGTGTTTTATTGACTGTGCAAAGGCTAAAGAGCAAAGATGTCTCCTTGAGGACTAAGGTGCACCTGACACAAGCCATGATATTTTCAATAGCCTCATATGCATGTGAGAGCTGGACAATGAATAAGAAGGACCAAAGAAGAGTTGATGCTTTTGAGGTGTTGTGCTGGCGAAGAATGCTGAGAGTACCGTGGACTGCTAAAAGAACTAACAGGTCTGTCCTGGAGGAAGTGTAGCTAGAATGCTCCTTGGAGGCGAGAATGGCCAGACTTCGTCTCACATACCTTGGTCATGTTGTCAGAAGGGACCATTCCCTGCAGAAGGATGTCATGCTTTGTAAGGTGGAGGGTCAAAGAAAGAGGGGAAGGCCTTTAACGAGATGGATTGACACGGTGGCTGCGACCATGGGCTCAAGTATAGCAGGAATCATGGAGCTAGCGCGGGATCAGGCGGTGTTTCGTTCTGCATAGGGTCGCTGTGAGTCGGAGATGACTCAATGGCACTTAACAACAACAGTCATGTCAAATAGGTTTGTTTAAAGCTGAGCCCTGAGTCTTGCAAAGCTGATTGGAAGAAGCCCTCCCAGCCATGCTGAGTAACAAGGAGCAGGACCGTGCTAGGTGGCTCAGTGCAGATTCCTCACGGTAAGAACAGCCACTGCGTTGGTCTGTTGTTATGTGCTGTCAAGTCAGCCCCGACTCACAGCGACCCCTCCTTGGGTTGCCGAGAGGCAGTACCACTACGGAAGTAGATTGTCCCATCTTCCTTCAGAGGAGTGGCTGGTGGGTTTGAACCTCCAGCCTTCTGGTTAGCAGTCAAGTGCCTTAGGCACTAGGCTACCAGAGCTCCTTGCATTGGTCTAGAAGCCAGCAATTTAATCTCAGTGGTGGCCTCAGAACCAAATGGACAAAACACCAACAATAACAATAAGGCTTCAGTGTTTGTCCTCAGAGTTCCAGGCAGTGGATTTGGACGTGTGCTCAGACTTTCCCATCAGCCTTAGCTACTCACCCTGCACCAGAAAGATGTCACCAGATAACCATAGGTCCCTCCCACTAATGTGGGAGTCTTGGTTAGAGGGTTTCTGCCTTCCGTTCAGTCTCTCCTGGAAGAGAAAATCAGTGC